GCTTTTTCTGGCCAAATTGATAAATGATTATGTGACTAAGGTTTAAATTTCTTGGTCTGATGAGATAGCTATGTTGAATACATCACTGTAACTTCACTTGAATCCTATCAAATGATAAAAAACAACTCCTTTTATGATCTGTATGTTGGATTCTTACTACTGTCATTTCCCCATCTAGATAACTCAACTAAGCTTATCATTAAATGGAACCTCAAATCACCCTAAAAAATTTTGTAGGTTTATTTGGGAGGTCTAAGGAGGGAATCTTTTGTTCAGGAATGGCTAAAAGAATTGATGAAATAGTCAACTTTTTTGTTATCCCATTGAGTAGAAAAGGACCTTTACCTTTCTAGATTGTAATTGAATTCAATTTTACGAAGCATGTTCCATATGAAAGCTGAAGTTGGGCTTGATAGACTATTATATTTTTTAATTTTTTATATGGGAAGATTTTCCATTACTTTCTTATTGCGTCAATCTAACAGAACTCTTTTAACACAATCAATTGTCATGCACTACAAGCCTACTTAACTATGTAAAGTTGCCTTATGATGAGGGCAATCATGGTTGAAGGCTATGAAGATTCTCATGAGTCACAAATCACTGAAATCATCTAATCGTAATCAAAATATTGATTAAAAAATCATTTGTTAGGAAGTGAGGACCGAAAGGAAAGCAGAGTTTGGCCTTTTGCATTAATAGTGACATCTATTTTCAACTCAAAAGGTCAATTCTATGATTAATTGGTAATCAATTTGTCTTTTTGCACAAACATATTTTAAACTATTGATTTAGGACTGAACCTAATGTTTTCACTTGTATTAATGTTTAATGGGCTTTATAGTATGATAAAGAGTTCATTTTTCCTTGTTTAAAGCATTATGATTAAGAAACCAATAAGCTCAACACCGATTACAATTTATAGACGAATACTTTCCTTTAATATTTTGTAGAAAAAACATTCTAGCACTGAAGTGCCGTATTAACCTTTGAACGCAAAGAATCTTAATAATGACCATTCTGCATAATAACTAAACTTATGATAAATGACAATGAATTATAAAGAGTTCCAAACTGGTTAATGACCAAGAAAACTTTGGATAATTTGATAAGTTATTTTTAAATATTTTTAATATTCTCTTGTGGTTTATTACTTCAACTTTCTTTTTTTAACAGCTAGCTCTAATAATAGAGGTTTATGATCCCCTTGATTTCCCCATTCTTTTGGTTTTAGTAGATCTTACACGATTAAACTCATTACAAATATGCATCACTTCTTACAATATTAAATGAATTGTAAATTTCCCATATATATATATCCTTTATACACTTTTTCTTGTACACTAATTGAAAATCCCTCATCTTCATATGTTTTTCTGTTGTTTTAATTCTCATACATCAAATGCTACTTTATGTATCAGCATTCAACACTACATTACATACACCAAGGTATATTTCATTTTAATGTAATTATATTTATTGCTGCTAATGATTAGTAAGTAAAAAAGAATGTACAAAAATGTAAATTGGATTAGCACAATAATAGATAATATATATCTAACAAAATAAGAACATTAAGTCACTTACTTAATGCAACAAACCTTGACTCATCAAATTTATTGCAACTAAGCACATAATAAGCAAGATCATGAACAGACTCTCCGTTTTGTATTGTTGTGTTGTAATGATGTACTATACTGAATGGTGTTCTGTTTTTTTGTCAATGAAATCAAATGATTAAATTCATGCTAAGATTATTATCAGAGATGTAAGAACAGTTTTTTAGTTAAAATAGATATAACACTAATATGAGCTGTTTGAATGATTAAAATGAATATTATTTTAAATTTCATGCAACTATTATATAATATCCTTATCCCAATTAATCTATAATTAATTAAAATAATTAGATAATTTATTAAATAAGAAAGCTAAAAGTCATGAAAGTACTTTTTTTTGGGATGCTATCGAAAGTATCTTTCATCTTAAGAAAACTGGCCTGCTTTCATAGAACAACTTATTCTCACTTTATTTTTTACTCTAAAGCTTTTTGGCTATTTAAGAAAGCATGAGCAGGCAACATGAAGCAATAGCAAAATTATCCTAAGGTGCGAGTATATTGCAGATTTCATCGTTGCTTGCATTCTTTTCACAGCAAATATTCCATATATTATCAATTCTACAACTATCATATTGCATATTTCATCACTGCTGCCATATTGATTTAGCAAGCTTCCAAATAAGTGCAAAATTTTGATTTTACAACTATTTTTTATCGGGAATTTGTCGTATTATGTTCCCACCAGATATCTTTATTTTCTCGTCTTGATTCAGTAAATGGGCTGAATTTAGCATGTATTTTTTTCCAATAGCTTGAGTAATAATATTAACGATTTCATCTTGTTATTTAACTTTTATTACATTCCAAGAAGCATAGTGTCCATCCTATAATTGATTCACTTTTCAATGTTCTTGATATCTCAAATGATTTTTATTCCACATTTCTTGCTTTTGAATCTACCCTATCTAAAATTATCAAACTCCATATCGATGGGTAAGGGGAGTAGAGGATGAGAGAACAAAGTAAGGTAAAGCATTGAATTCGAGTTAATAGCTTGGCATTATTGCATTTCTGCTAAATACTTAGGAAAGAGGTACCCCAAAACTCCTAAACACCGAATTTAAGATTGATTAATGGAAAAAATAACTTAATAAATATATAAAAATTGATAATCAATCAACTCAAATAAGTCAATTTTTAGTAAAATGTTTTGAATTTCAATATTTTGAATTAAGTTAGGAGATGATTAAGTATTTGATCTAGGAAAGAGTTGGCATTCAAAATCATTAGAGAAAATCTTAACTAAAATATAGTAATCCTCAATAGGGACCATTTCCGTCTAACCACTGCCACCATTGGTCCATTGTCTGGCCGACACCACCGTTAAACCATTGTTTGGTCACCTTCGCCCGACCTAAGTAATTCGGTTACCACTCCTGCCAAACTGCCGCTTCTCAGCCACTATCGGCACTATCGCTGGACCATCATCGTTCGGCTGCCACCACTCTCTGTATCACTAGCGATGATAGTTTGTCCAACCCAATTTTTAGTATCTTTTTTCCTCTTTGGCCATCTGCATTATTTCCGACTTAAAGTTGATATTTTAAAATGAATATTGAGAACTTTTTGGATAAGGAGCCCTGCAAAAATGGCAATGCTAACAACTAAGGAGCAACTCTTTTTCATGATCCCTTCAAGACTAATATTTTACAAACACAATTTACAAAAATTGGGGATATATATTCAATGTCTTTGACAGCGACTTCTGAAAATTGGGGGCAACTGATACGTTCTCAAAATATTATTTTAATCATGGACGAATCTCAAAGCATTTTGAATAATAAACGTTCCAAATTCAAATTCAAGATCATTCATGCCTCGATTCTAGCAAGCTTATGGTCAAACTAACCACCTCGATAAGGCGGGCACAATGAAACAAAAATTGGTACGGCCCGAGTCCGATCAAGCCCAAATGAAGTTTTTTAATCACAATTAGAGGCTTTGAATGCTCAATTGAATGGTTAAATGGATTCTAAATATAACAAGTTTATACTCAAATTGAACATTTCATCGAGACAAATCTAATGAGTCCAAGTTCACTCTATTCTGACAGTATTAAGTCACTCAATTGCTCATAGAACACCATCCTATCAAGGTGATTCATCTAGGCCGTCAAATGGAGAGCTCCAGATTTATGTTGTATTTATAGAGGATACTACTCACAAAATTTGTAAACGGACCCACACCATCTCTGGTATTTGGGATTTGGACCTAGAAAAGAGGATGAAGGGAGATCCAAGCTCCTAAGGTCTCTCGAGCTCCATCTTCGCCAGACCACCAGTGCCCGACCGCTGTCGTCGAGCCCCACCATTGCCGAACCACTGTCGTCGAACTCCACCACCGTCGGCCACTGCCTTCAAGCTCCACCACCATCGAACCACCAATGCCCGTCCACCGCCATTAAGCTCCACCACTGCTGGGAAATTGTCGTCGAGCTCCACCGCCACCGGACAACCTTCATCAAGCTCCACCACCGCCAGACAACCTTCGTCAAGCTCCACCACCACCGAATCACTGTCAAGTTCTATGTTTGACTGCCGCTGCCAAGCTCCACCACCGCCGGACCATTAGTGTCTGGGAACCAACATTGGAATATCACTGCTCGGTTGTTGCCACCATTACTACCCTGCCACTGCTATCGGTGCCACCACCGTCGCTGGGTTTTCACTACCAAAGACACTAGCATCGGTTTTCCTAGTAGAAGACCTTTACCGTCGGTTTTTTTTCGTGGCAGTTAGGTTGTCATCACTTTCTCAGTGTTTTCTATCCCTTCCCTAGTGAAAAACACTCCCTGCTTATATAATATTGCTTCCAACTATTCAAGAGATAACAAAGTTTTGTAACTTACAACAACATAATGAAAACATTTCAACTCGGTCAAACCTCGTGATTTTTCCGATTGATGGGTTTCCACGTAAAAACACCTACTCTCTTCTTAGTCAATTTCTTTCTACTTATGTGTGTGCTGGAGCTTCGTGCAATACTAAAAGAACAATATGTCACTCTACCCCCGCAAATTTAGGAGCACTTAACAACCCTAAATTTTGAGTTCTTCAATATCAACTGATCAATCTTTATGCGAGAAATCACTTCAAATAGGAATTCTGTAAAATCTTCAATATTAAAAACTAAGCATAATAGCCATTGCTTCGTTTAGTTGACATCCTTCTTTCTAAAATTATTATTATTTCTATTTTTCTTTTTAATGATCTGCGTAGAAATTTTTTTTCTTTAATTCTCTTTATCAAATCATTAATTTAGCACATCATGTGGTTTAAATCGAAGAATTAAATGCAGGCAGGCATTTTTAAATGCTTTCATTGCACCGATGTTTTAGCCACTGTTTCATAGCTAATAATATTTTTTATTTCCCTTGCAGTGCAATCTATAAGACAGAATTGGCTAGCGAAGTTCTTGGCTACATTCTGTATGAAAGATGGGAACATTTCTGGAATCCCATAACTCTAAGATGGAATTCTTCTGGTGTTAATATATGCATGAAAGATGGGGGATTTACATACATGGCACACAATTCTTATATATTTACATATCCCACACCTAAACATTCATATTTACACAGGCAGCACTTAAATATTCACTATCACATCAAAATTAGCATTATTATCACCTTTAAAAAATGAAATATATTTTTTCATGTATGGTTCCAAAGCACCAAAGTGCTATACATGTATATATGAAAGTTTAGGTGTACAACATGTAAAATTAAGTAAGAATTGCTTTCTAAGTATCTAAATTTTCCTAAAATTTATTTTCATCGAAGTTTTTATTTTTGTACTTGTAAATACCACTAGCGGCGGGGCAGCGACCAACAGCTCAAGTTAACCTTCTATCAATGCATCAAGTGCTCCATCTTCTCTATAAATTTCACAGGACATCCTCATTTAAAGTTATAAATAAGCAGAGCCGAGCTCTAGTCTCTTCTAACTTGAACTCGGTTCATTTGTCAAAGTGCAAGCACTAATTTGAGTCGAGCTCAAACGGCGAACTCGAGCTCGGCTTGCAGTCATGATGGTCGGTTGGCTCGTGAGCACGACCCGAAGATAAAATTGTCACGATAGCTGGCCAAAGGAAACATCTATGGGAGCTCAGTTCTTTGGTCAAATATCCTCCATTCTATGCCCTGAGTGGATTCTTGTATGAGGTAAATGAAAAGCAAATTTAAGGCTTGCTCCATTAGCTTTCTATATATTATGTTGTGCTACCAACTGCATGCATTATTTCGCATTAATTTTTCCCATGTCATAAGACTTAAAAAACCGTTCAAAATGCTTCAATTGTTTATGTTTTTGCAGGAAAATGCACTATATTCTATGCTCAAATCAGTATATTTAATAGGTCTGGTGAAAATGGCATCATATCAGTTTAATGCCACTTCTTTTATTTTTCTTTTTGGAGCAAGATGAGTGCCCAAATTCTATTAATTGGAATTCTTCACTTTGTTACATTCGGGCATATTGTTTTGGTTCTATTATATTTGGTAATATGCCCCAATTGTATAGTTATAAATACACTTACTACCAACTCAACTCAATGTGATTAAAATTTTGTTTTTGATCATAATATGCTTTTTCTTAGTTGCCTCTCAAGGGCAAGGCTGAGCATGGGAAAGCTAAATTTGGTAGTTCAGAAGTAGAGATTTTCAAGGTTTAGGGTCCTTTTGGGGTGGCCATGTGGTGGCGATAGGACACCGCACTGCAGTTTTGTCTGTTTATGTAAAATGTGTGTTGTCACTGAAATTGACATTTTTTTATCAGTCCTCTCTAGGTGTGGTTGTTGCTTAAGCTGTAGCCTGATTTTTTTTTTAAAAAAAATTGTAATTGCCACCACAGTTTTTCGAACATCAGATTATTTTTTTAGCACTTTTATGAGTATTTTTTAATAAGCTTCAGTTGCCCCCAAACAAACCCTTTATCTGTCTAATTTTTAACCACAAAAAGACAATATAAGAAATGCACATTGTGAGACATGTTGGCATTTAAAGAATTGGACTCCCCTGCATTTGGATGCTATTGTGTTGCTTTAAAAAATCAAAGGTCGTTATTTATGATGGTGAGTGGCTATGTTATGAGATCATTAATATAGTAGCATAGAGGATCTTTTTTAATATTATCTAAAACAGAAATATAAATCTAAGTTTTCCTTGGCAGAAATCTCTCGAGTCAAATTAATAATATATAGATATTGATATGCCACCAACAAATTTTCATCATCAGACTCCGAACTTGAGGAATGACACGAATTTTGAGATAATAGTTTAGCAAGAAACATTCAGATATCAATTAAGGGTCATCCAAAGCTCCAATTTCAACAAATTTATAGTTAAACTGGCCGGCTCGATGAGAATGATCTAATGATATAAAAACTAGTCAATTTGAGTTAAATCAAGCACATATCAAGTCATTAAACCACTTTAAGAAGATTTCCGGACATATTTGGAAGGTTGAATTAATGCCTACACTAGTAAACCTATACTCGAATCGAGCG